CTCACTCTCACTCTCACTCTCACTCTCACTCTCACTCTCACTCTCACACTCACACTCACACTCACACCCACACTCACATTCACACTCTCACTCTCACTCTCACTCTCACACCACCACCGCCACCGTCACCACGATCCCCACCTTCATCACCACCATCACCTCTTTGGACCACTTTCTGCTTATAGACCTCACACACACTGTTTGGGGTGTTTTGCCATTATAATTTGTATGTTTTGGGTTCATTTGTTCGTCTCAGTTTTGGGTTGGCAGACCTCGTGGACAGGCCCAGGAGGTGGTGAATTGCTGCGGGCTGGCGGCCCCACGGGTGGCGCAAATGCTGGGGATGGAGGCGATGCAGTGGAGATGGGTATGGGTTTGTTATATATTATAACAGCAAAAACCACAGAGATACATATATATATATATATCAAAATAGATACATAGATAGATCGATCGATAGATTTAGGGGGCGGTTGCCCCTGCAGTGGTTGAGTTGGGGAAATTCAGCACCATATGAGGGAACATCGCAACATGTTCATGGGAAGCAGATCCTTTTCACATTTTGTCATCGAACACGTGATGACAGTTATACAGGGGATATGCCGTTCTTCCAAATCTAGACTGCACATAGATGAATCCTTCTATCACCTGCCCATCCTGGCGATTTGAAATAGAAACATTTGTGATGGTCCTGTTTTTGGTCCTCCATCCAGCTCAGGAGATTCCCAGAGCCTACTTCTGCCGTGGCAGCTACTATGCTCTTCAAGGTGCACGCTGGCGGTGGCATCCTCGCAGGATGGGGCGGCACGGTGCCGTTTCTAGATCCATAAATGAGAATGGGTCCAATATCGTACACTCATTTGAGCGGCTCAACCGCCAGGTGGCCTGAAACCCTTCTCTCGGTTGATCTACCCTGTGCATGAGCCGCAGACCAGTGGTCTGGGAGTGCATGCCACCGTGGATTTACAAGGACAAACCGAGTTTCAGAGGGATGCATGGGAGGGGACCAGTGTGCAAAAGGAATGGTGTGACAGGAAGGCAGCGTTTTTCATATCTATATTTGGAAGGGCTACGGGGCTTCCACAGTTTTGGTTCACAGTCCCTCATGCAGACACACGCAAATCTTTGAATGTAGCCTCTGCCAAGCTCAACATCAAGCTGATGTGAAAGGAGTGGATGCTTCATGGTAAGGAACCAGGCTTGATTGGCACTTACTGGAAGGTGCCACAGGTGGTCCGACACTCGCACCGTACATCGCAGGACAAGTTCGCTTTGGTCCAGATGTGGAGTGGCTGCCCAATGAGATTCGACCAGGGAAAGAGGTGGATGAGGCTCTTCACAAGCAAAGAAAGAATGCAAAGGGAGAACTAGATTGCGCCAATCAGAAGGACAATCTTATACTTTTTGGTTTCTGGAGATTCAAAGATGGGAAGAGGTAAGCGCTGTGACAGCTCTCCGCACACTGTTGATAGGCGGTACTTGTGACCTTTGATTCTTTTCACCGTGTTTGTTTTGTCACGGGGTGTCGGTGCGAGGTCGCCTACAGTCCTCAGCAAGCCATTGCCTATGAAGTCGATACCAACAGAAGCAAGTCCTTTTACTCAGAGGCTGGAGGGTCAAGATGTCTCAACGGAACAATCCAGTTGCTATGCACAGATGAAACGTATTCTGATTTGTGGCAATTGCAGTGGTTGATCATCGCAGAGACAAATCTGCAAACATGTACATACTTTGTCCAGGGTGACCACTTCCCGAGAACCATTTGTCCTTTCATCTTCCTTACTGGTCTCTTTCCACCAGCATCCAGTCAAGCATCAAATCTGGCGGGGTGCTCACAACCAACATTTTGGTGACGGCAAAAGACCCTCAAGCTTCCCATCAAGGATTGGGCCATTGGTCCTCAAGGGACGTTTCTTGGTGAAATGACCTCTTGTTCTCTTGGGTGGCACCGGTGGTCTGCGTCGAAGCAGCGGTCCTGGAAGCCAAACATCTCCAAAACCGAGATTGGTGGATCCTCGTCACTCTCGGCTGAACATATTCAGTTTGTTTTAGTGGGTGAACTATGGTTCCTCCGTGAAAGGCCCTGTGTCGGTCGACTGGTCGCAGGTGCGCCGCTACTGGCCGCAGCTGCCCGAGGGCTCTCTGGTGGCCGACTACGCTGGGGTGAGACCCAAGCTTTCGGGTCCAGGACGGTCATGGTGTGACGTCGGAGTAGTGGGGTAGTGGGGAGGGGAGCTTCATGTTGACCTCGATGTTATTCTTGTTTTTTTAAACACGATTCAGGACGATGTGTCAAACCTGGGTTTCCAATGTTTTCCATGCAACCTAGACTACCAGAGGATAAGAAAAAGAGCGTAGTCCCAAACGCGCAACACCAACGTGGCTTTTCCATCGAGGAGAGCCGGCAGCCGATTTCCAGGTGGCCAGATATGGCAAGCCGCTTGGTTGAAAACAGTGCCAGCTCTGTCCAAAAGATCGCAAAGTTCATGGAACACCTCCAAGGATGAATCCATACAGGGATTTGACAGGACTTGAAGAATTCTCTTTTGGATAAGCCCAGTTGGAGACAAGTGTGGGATGTATTCGTGGCAGCTTTGGCGTTGCTGCTCTCAGAAGTTTCTTTGTTGAGAACCAAATCGATTCCGCTTTTCCCTCTTTTCCTCTCTTCTGTGAGGTTGGTGAACCTTTTCGGCATTGAGAGTCCGGGGCTCACGTCCTCCTTGAGCCTGGCCCGGGAGGTGGTCCACCTGCTAGGCGCCGAGAGGGGGGGAGGGCCTCGGGGTGCCGTTTCTCTTTTTTCCCGGAATGACAGGTGACAATAGATCATAAGCATGCGAATATGTGGGAATGTGGCGGATTCCTTGAGGTACCAAGGTGCTTCTGAACATGCGGAAGGTGCACCTGTTTGTTGGTATGCCCTTTTGGCAGGTGCCAAGTCGAGCTGATCCACTTCAACTGGTGATCTGCAACATTTGGCAGCTGGACGTGCCGGCCTCTCCAGCTTATTGTGGGGTTTGAGAAACTTGGAACATGCTCGACAGGAGAATTTTCAGAGGAAGGGAGCCAGCAGCTGGGACAGGCAATGGATCCTCCACTTTCGCATCCAGACATGGGACCTTCGTGTCAGGTGCCCGGGGTGGATGCACTTGACAAGCATAGCAGCATAGCACTGCAAGAGTGGCTTGCAGCAACTTCACTGCTTCTGGTTCCCCGAGCTTTTCCTTCAACGACTTTGCAAAGGAAAGATAGATCTTCGAGGGTCTGAATCACTCCGATTGACAGTGCGCTTACTGCTTGCTCCCTTGGGATCGCTTCGTAGCACCCATTCATTCATTCCTTCATTCATTCACAGGCTTCCATTGTGTCATGCTACAAAGGAAGCTGCTGGGAGCGTCAAGACACCTTTGTCCAGGCCAACTGAAGCACATCTCAGCCGTTGTGGCACCTCATGGTCACCATGATGTGATTGTGACCGAGGGTAATACTCTTCTTCAAAGCCTTTCTTGGCTGCAATACCTCCCATTCCTCATGATGAATGTGAAACACTTTGTCGTAGGGGCTGCCAAAGTTAGAGGCTATGGCTATGAGAGCAGCAACGTGTCCGTTTGACGGAAATGAGGCTGACGAGGGAGAGTTGTTGCAGGTCCAACATACAGCAATGTCCCCTTCACTGGATTTGCTTGATCAGTGCGTCAGTGAAGTCCTTGAGGACTGCAAGTTGATTGCCAGTAACCATTGAGTGGCAGGGTTGCAGGACCACCCAGCCATGGTGGGCAGGACCACCAAGGTGGCCTTGTCAGGTGGGTGGTTGCTGGCATTCTATGCCTGACGAAGGGTGCAGGATTTGATGCCTCGGGCCAGGCGCGCCTGGCATCATGGCTTGGCCCGTGACTCGCGGGACGAGATTTTTCGGTTTCACACGTTGTGAAGACAGTGTGACAGTGTGTGTGTGTGTGCGCCAGAAAAGGGTTGGCGTGACACTAAATAACGGCCTGCTACAAGGAGTGTGGGGTGTAGTGACACGACTGGTTGATACTTTGTGGAACCCTGGCGCGCCTTTGCAAAAAACAGGAGTAACACCCACTCCAGCAGAAACTCTGAGCCACAGCCTGTTCTCCAGACATGATGAAGGTCCCTGACCTTCAGCTCCAGTGTGGGCGTGGGGGACAGTAGGAGAGACTTACTGTCGCGGCATCAAACCCGGAGCCCCCCCAACCATGGTAGGTTCACCTCCCCAGTCTTCTGTTCATGACTCTGGTGGTCCATTCTCTTTCTAGATCCAAGCCGACCAGGAAATGAAAGTCATACAGAGACACGGAGTCAAGAATAAATGCCTTGGGAAATGATTCGAAAACGATATCTGCACGGGAAGCGACTTAGCGATGTCAGGGGAGCAAACTGAGTTGGGCTAAGGTCACAAAACTGCAATGATACTGCCGCTTTATATTTGACTCATCGTGACTGGAATTTGACTCACCTAGTTTCAGCGGCCATAGCGGTTCTATCCGGGTGCTTTCCTTCAGCAAGGCCACTGGAGTGACCCCTCGAGCCACCCGTGGATGATTGGTCCTGCTCAGATTCAACATCAGGTTCTATTTAGGTGACGGGGGCAGAATTGCCAGGAGCCCGCAGAGACGCATTTCTGTATTGCTTTGGCATTGATTGAAAGGGTTTCTTCAGAGGTCTTTACAGCATATATATGTCCCTTATCTCTGCTGAAATGAGCATGTGCTCTCAAGAAATCTTGGCTCAAGAGCCGCTGCATGCCTTGGAGCGCCGTGGTTGACGTGGCGCGCGAGCTGAGGTGGTGGTGGCCTACCTCCTGTCCGTCGAGTGGGATAGGTGCGGCATTCGCAGCGCTCTTGGTTCTGGTTAGCTGCCTGTGCGGCTGCTGCTGTGGCATCCTGGCCACGCTGGTGGTGGTGTGCTTGGGCCCCTCTTGAGCCTGCAACCTTCCAAGCACAGTCTCTTAGGAGGCGCCTGGCCCAGTACCGCTCAGACGGTGCATGAGTTCAGATCCAGATCCGGAGGTCGACGAGCTGTGCATCGCAGTCGGTGACCTGGTCGTGAAAGTTAGCAAGGCCAAGGCCGCCCCATCAGCTGGATACGGAACACACAGTGCAGGGTCGTCGGCTGATCCTTCCTTCTCTTCCCAGGGATTCTGGTGCCCTTGCAGGCCCATCTCGGGCCACGGTGCCAGCAGTCGTTGGCAGCAGCGCAACTTCGGAAGCTGCATCTTGGAGTGTGGTTGAGTTGGCTGAAGCTTCATCCTTTGCCCCGTGGAGCTGGGAGTGGGAATCCGCTCTACTGGCTGCCTCTTCACCTGAAGAGGTTCTGGCGGTGGATTTGAGTGTCATTGATCATCTGAGCAATCGTCTCCGGACGACCAGTGCAGGGTGGTCACCTCGTGCACGCTTGGGTCGTGCATTCCGGGCCGGATTGATAGCCCGCCAGGTGCTGGACAAGCACTACGTGAAGCCAGCAAATCTGGGTGGTCCGACTCTTCCCTGCCGATTCTATATCATCCTTCGTGCTGCATCTGGTCGTTTGTCTGGTTGGACGGACGACTACATCCAGTATCGAGATCAGGTCATCACCAAAGACGGCGGCTTCGCGGCTGGAACGGTGTCACAAGCATTCGCGTCTCGTGCAGAAGCTGAGGCCTATCTCCTGGGAGCTCGGGAGCCATGGCCAGCGGCGCTGCCGCGCCGATGCTGAGCGAAGATGCTATGAGGGCCTTGTGGGAAGCGGCTCCCACTGGGGCTCTCCCAGGTGTGTACCTGGTCTTGCCGCAAAGATCCGATGGTGTCGGGCAGAGGGCTTTGGGCTATATGGTCAGAGTGCGAGCTGGCGGCTTTATGGTAGTTGTTCCGGAGGCCGAGGAGGTCTCCCAAACACCCCAAGACTTGGAGTACGAAGCTCAGGAAGCTCTTGTGGCCATCTACTCCGCAGAGCTGGACTTCGAGACCACCCGCGGCAGAAGACTTTCTCCAGGACCCTGTCTTCTCGTAGATCTGTCCTGGAATCTGGTTGGGCATTTTATGAAAGCCAATTGCTTCTTCGTTCGAGGTCATCAGATTCATGCAGGAGGGCACCACTTGTCGTCCAAGGCGGGAGTCAGTCGCCTCTGCGGCCGATGCCTGGACTCACGAGGTGATGGACGACGATACTGCCGCCGACTATGTAACTGGAGAGTCCGAAGGCCACTTGGTCGATGGTTTGGAGCCTCAGTTGGAAGCCGGTGGAGCGGGAGACGACGAGGTGGCCGCCCTTCGACGGCGCATCGCCGAGCTGGAGCAAGCGGCTTCTTCACCCCCACTTCGAGCACCTGCACTGAGGACCCCAGACAGGCTGGCATCAAGCAGTCAGCAACCTGTTCTCACCAATCGTGGTGTCTTGTTCGGAGGGTCGCCAAACGTCAATGCGATTCCTCCTCCTCCCGGGGATGTGATGAACAAGTTCAGATCACTGGCAGGCGCAGCTCCCACGCGGCTGGGGGCACACGAGCGTCAAGCTCGCGCCAGTCGCCCGGAGGCATCTTTGGAAGCTCTTCAACAGGAGGCCGGATTGGGAGCCATCGAACCTCTAGAGCTCGAAGAGGGCATTCAAGAGTTGGAAGGTGTGGCTTCAGATCCCTTGCAGCGCATGCTGCTCCTCCAGATGCAGCAGATGTCCATGCTGGCCAAACGCAACCAGGCCAGGTCGGTCGATCCTCTGACCGCCGCGTTGGCGGGTGGGGGAGAATCACAAAGCATGGGAAGCTCGTCGAGTGGCATCAAGGGCTGTGCTGCACGGGAGGCATATCTGAAGATCATGCAGGACCTCCCGGCCTTTGCTTCGAAAGTGAACGACAATGCTTGCCAGGAACTCGGGATCGAGATGCGCCAGGCCGGTCCAGGTCTTATGAAGGAGTATGTCGAGAAAAGGATCCCGTTGGGCGACAACAGACTCCTTACTCAATCCGCCTATCTATGGGCATGGGCTTGGGAGATGGGATATCGCCTGAACAACCCCGAGCTGATGGCCGTGTCCTGCAGGGGGATGCTTTTCGTCGATCAGACGGCCATAGACTTCGGCCGGACCAATTTGAGCTGGTTGCTGACGGCCTTGCCAGAACCGCAGTTCAGTATTGTTCAAAGGAATCGGGTTCGGCAGTCGCTGACCCCGTTCAGCAGATTGGCGGCGGCTTCCTGGATAGGAGCAATGTGGCCTTCATGAAGGACCTCGATTTTTCGGAGTCCAAGATCAAGAATGCCAACGCCACTCCCGGTCCAAAAGAAGGAGCCGCCGATGCCGAGAAGCCGAAGAAGACGCCCTGGAAGCCCAAGAAGAAGAAGACCCAGGACGGGTCAGACACCACAGCATGAAGGAAGACTATGCCGCTATGCCCGCCGGTGGTCTGCATACTGGTTTGCCGAGCTCTTCTTTGTCAGAGCGGGGGGTTTGCAGCCCCACCGCTACTGTCGGTCGGCCGGTGTGCGGTTCTGCCAGGCGCGGCTTTTCCACTGGTGCGGCGATGTCTTCGCATGCGCAGGTTGAGGATGGCCAAGATCTTCCGGGGACTCATGTTCCATCAGCCCCCTGCTCCCTCAAGCCGAAGATAGCAGGGAAGTGCTTTCCGGAAGAAATTCAGTGCAGTTGATGTTGGCAGCTTTGCAAGGGGCTTCGACTTGTCCTGGGCTAGGAGACTTCTTGCACCGGAGCTTGCTGCCTTCCCGCGATGTTGTGGTCCCTGAACGCTTGGGGACGGACCTTTTGCCTTGTCCCCCCCCCGCTGTGGGGTCGATGGACAAAAGCAAGCTCACTTTCTCCGCCCCGCCGGAGGCGCTGGAGGTTTTTTGAGGGCGAAAGCCCTGTGCATGCAGCACCTGGTGATTGGACTCAACTGGCTGACACTTGGGTGCTGCAGGTCGCCCCCTGATCGAACACGAGCAGGATACCCTATGACCAATGCGCAGCGCGAGATGGTTGAGAGGCTGGAGGATTTAGTCTCGCACTTCCTTGCGGCTGGTCCGGTGTCCTTTGATAGCTTGGGCAGAGCCGGGGAGAAATTGAGTAATTTGAGTGCTTTGATTTTTCTCTCCCTCAAGTTTCAAAGGGATGCAATTTTGATGATATTGATAGTTCTTTAGAAGTGCTTCAGCATTCGTTCGATGCATACTCCAAACCTCGCAAAACCAATCCCCCTGAATCTGAACCTGAAGAAACTCCCGTCTCTGGCCACGAAGAGAAGGACGGCGCGCGTCCAGTTGTTCCGCGAACCAGGATGCCCTCGAGTGCCTGCAGCGCCAAACCTGTTTATGCAGACAGAATCAAGTGGAAGCTTGCGCCCTCCTTTGATCCTAGACCATACTTAGACGACCCAGTGGTGCGGCGGGCATTCGATGATCCTGATGTGCTCAGACGACCGCCAGAGACCTGGCCTCGTTTGCCTTGCGCAAAAGTTCACGCTAGCAAGTCAGAGGTGCTCGCATTGGCGTCCAAGTGGGACGAGCTTGGAGCTTGTCGGTTGGTTCCCTGTGCATCTATCCCAAGCATCGAAACTGTTGGTCTGTTTGCAGTTCCTAAGGATGAGGTTTACGACAGACTGATTTTGAATCCTACCGTGGTGAATTCAAGATGTTTTGGATATTCCAGGTACACCAAGACAATTGCCCCCGGGTATTTGATGACTGCGCTCCAGCTTCAACCCGATGAGCAAATTTTGATCTCCTCTGATGACCTGTGTGAGTTTTACTACACGTTTCGCGTCTCGAACAAACGTGCCAAGCGGAACGCCATCGGCGTCCCCTTTGACTCGGAGGAACTTTCTCACTTGCGTTGTTTTGATGAAGCAAAGCATAAGGGGTCTCTCTATGTATGTTTAGGAACATTAGCAATGGGCGATGCATTGGCGGTCGAGATCGCGCAACAGAGCCACCTGAACTTGCTTCGGTTTCGTGCCGGTTGTATGAGGGAAGG